ACGCGTTCGACGAGGCCGCGGCGACGCTCGCGCGGTGGCGCGCGCGGTGGCCCGAGGCGGGCCGCTTCTGCGACCAGCGCGAGCGCACGTCGAAGCTGCTGCGGCGGTCGAAGAACGAGGGCGACGCGGCGCTCAAGGAGGGCCGCTTCGCGGCCGCGCTCGAGGCCTACGGCTACGCGCTCCGCGTCGACGGCAAGCACCCGCGCGTCTTCTACAACCGGGGCCTCACGTTCATGGCCCTCAAGCGCTACGCCGACGCGACGGCGGACTTTGGCTACGCCCTCGAGAGCCAGGCCCACTACCCGAAGGCGTCGCTGGGCCGCGCGCGGTGCTACGCGAACCTCGGCCGCCTCGACGACGCGGCCGTCATGTACCGCAAGTACCTCCGGGAGGCGCCGAAGATGGACGCGGCGGCCGCCGACGAGCTCAAGCGCGTCGAGCGCGCGCGCCACGCCCAGAGCCACCACGACCACGCGCGCGCGCACTCGCAGCGGCACCGCGCGGGCACGCACGCCGCGCGGCCGCGCCGCGCGGCCGCGCCGCCCGCGCCCGCGCCGCTCCGGGGCGCGCCCGCGCGGGGGACCCACTACGCGACGCTCGGCGTCAACTACGAGGCGACGCCCGCCCAGCTCAAGAAGAAGTTCCGCGAGCTCGCGCTCAAGTTCCACCCGGACAAGAACAAGACGCGGACCGCGGAGGAGCGCTTCAAGAAGATCAACGCGGCCTACGAGGTCCTCTCCGACCCGGCGCGCCGCCGCGACTACGACCTCACGCTCCAGCCCGAGCGCCCGCGCACCAACGCCGACGGCTACTGGCAGGGGTCCTACTAAGGGGTTTTCTAGTACGGTTTTTTTCCCCGGGGCGGGCGCGGCCTACCACGGCGCGGCCGCGGCGCGGATGGTCAGGAGGGCCGCGGCGTCCGCGGCGTCGGCCTTGGCGTCGGCCTTGGCGTCGGCCTTGCGGCGCGCGCGGGCGAGCGCCTCGCGGCGCGGCGCGCGCGGCGGGATGCGCGGCGGCGCGGGGCCGTGCTCGTCAGGAAAGTTCAGCCGCGCGTCGAGGCCGAGCGCGCGCACGCGCGCGTCGTATGCTCGGGCCGCGTCGCGCTTAAAGTCGAAGGTGCCGATATACTCTTGGTAGCCGCCGCATTTGATCCGCGCCTGCCACCGGTCCTTGTTCGCGGACACGCCTCGAAACCGCGGCTCGGGCGCGGCGGCGGCGGCGGCGGCGGCGGCGGCGCTCGGGGGGCGGTTTTTTGCGCCGCGAGTCGTCATCCGCGGGACGGCGGAGGCGCGATCCGGGGGGTCGACGGTCGACTTGTCGCGGCGCGGCGTCGCGTCCCGCGCATCTCGGAGGTCGGCGAGG